CACTGAAATATGGATTTGGAAATGTAAATCACAAAAATGTAAATCTCGCAAAGATAAATTGATTTCGACGTTACTTAATAATTTATTAATGATAAATGATTGATTATTTTGCGATTTCACAGTGAATAATATTTGACGATGTTCTCTGATATCGCAGACTAAAACGTGGAACAAAAATGTAAATCTCGCGAAGATAAATTGATTTCAACGTTACTTAATAATTTATTAATAATAAATTAATGATACTAACTGATTTATTTTAATGTCACTTTGCGATCTGACAGTGAGTAATATTTGATGGAATTCTCTGATATCGCAGACTGAAATGTGGAACAAAAATGTAAATCTCGCGAAGATAAATTGATTTCAACGTTACTTAATAATTTATTAATAATAAATTAATTCATTAATAATAAATTAATGGTACTAACTGATTTATTTTAATGTTACTTTACAATCTGACAGTGAGTAATATTTGATGGAATTCTCTGATATCGCAGACTGAAATGTGGAACAGAAATGTAAATCTCGCGAAGATAAATTGATTTCAACTTAATAATTTCAATTTAATAATAAATTAATTAATGATACTAAATGATTCATTTATTTTACGATTTCGATTTGACGGAATTCTAACTAATCACAGATGAGAAACGAAGAACAAGAATTGCAAAGATAAAACAATATCTGGAGAAAATCCGCGTGAAAAATCACGATTAATATTACGAGTATAAAAGCGCGACAGTCTCGGTAACATAACATTGATTGACGATGTATTAAATCTTGGTACTGCTCCTGCAAAACACGAGAGATACACGACTTATCGTCTTTCCTCTGTTACTTCTTCCAACAAGTATACGCACATGTACGACGATAGTAGACGAGATCGGAAATATTATTGTACGAGCGAGAAGCTCGTCCTAGAAGCCTGGCGTAATAGTCGACAGGGATTCGCCATTCATTCGACGTGGGGTGTCCCAACTTGAGAGACAACTCGAGACGTAAAAAGCTGACAAGCGTCAGGGATAAAAGCACGGGCAACATCGTACACTCGTTCTCCGACACCGAGATGCAAGTTCGAGTATTATTCTTGCGTCATTGCTTTAAATAAACCTCGCGAGTCTCGACTCGAAAGATACGTATACGATCGTCAACGACAACGTTGTTCGTTGCTCGAGGCAAGAGAGAGAGAGAGAGAGAGAGAGAATTAATCTCGTTCATTCGGACGATACGAGAACAGTTTCGCGTAATTGTCGAGCAGTCGGACGGCACTCTTTAATCGAACTCGAGTTCTCGAAACGCGGACGCAATCGCCGCGATACGTGTTTATCTTCGAGTGGAGAAAGAGAAACGCTGGCTCATCGCTCGCTCGGGAATTCGAACGATCAACCGCGACGCAGGACGAATCGCGAAAGACGTTTCGCGTCCTCGACGTCAAACTTCCTCTTGCGAGGAGTTGCGCAAGCGCAAATCGCGTCAACGTGGAAATTCTTCGACGGCCGGCGTGACGTGAAGTAGCCACTCCACGGTCGAGTGCCGCCCACGCGCCGCTTCCGACAGAATTTCAAGTTCGTCGAGAGTCTCGATAAGTCATAGGAACAGGTCCGTACAATAAACTTGTCCGTGTATCCGACTCGTGGGCGCTCGTGGACTTTTCGCGAAACACGAATTCGATATCGTGTATATAGTACTATATAGCAGTATATACTATATACACGATATATATATA